GCCCATTTTCCACTGGATTGGTCTGCTTTCGAATCTTACGTTATCTTTCTGTGGTCTTGTTGGGTTGCTGTGATCCTGCAGAGGCTCCTTCCTGGTGGCGCTGTTGTCTGTCTGCGTCTTCGCGTGCCGTCTTTCGGGTCGTCTTTACTTGTTGAGCTTTGCGAAGGAATGTTTTTGGTTTCCAAGTCACATGGTTTTGGTTTCCGAATCAACCTTTTTGGTTTCCGAATTGCAAGACCTCGGGCGCTCTTTCTCGAGCCTATCAAAGGGTCTGCGATGGTCGATGCCACCATTTCAATCACTCATGCACCCCCCTTGGTACTTTCGTGCCAACAAAAGTCAGTCAATTGACTGCGACCTCCCATGCGCACGTTGGCGCTTCACCTACTCCCAGCTCAAGATGCCCTCCTGCGCCTTTGGCGCCCTCCAACTTCTTCTTCTCGCCCGGGCTTAGCCGCATACCCGAAGCGATCCTCACCTCTGCAGCAGGGTGGCGGTGGCCTGGCCTGGAATGCGGCATGGAGGAGGCACGCGAAGGCATCGGGGGTCTTCGTGGGCAGCGCCAAGAAGTTTGACTACGGCAGGGGCCGGGAGGTTGCGGTGGACATCTTGTCGGGCCAGAATGTCGGAACGTGCTGGCATGACGGACGGCAAAGCGGACCGCCCTGCCTGACGTACTACTGCAGGCACTTCGAGGCTGCGGTCGGTCCGAGGGCGAGAAGCCTTTTCTTGACGCTCCTTCTTGCCTCCGGGCAAGACCTTGGCTGTTGCCGCAGATGCGGCCCTTCTCAGCAACTCTTTGTTGGACTCCTCCAGCTCCTCCACCAGCCTCAGGCTACCTCCTTCGGGACCAGCGGATTTCGGCTTGCATCCACCCGATCTTGTAGCCGAGCAAGTACACCAGCGGTACGAGAGCCGTGGCCCTCCGTCATCTGCATCACCACTTCCCGCTCTTCAACAGCTGCGTCGCCTCGGCCATCAACTTATCTTGGCCGTCTGCTTCCTCTCTTTTCCCCCTCTACCACCAACACCTCTTCCATGTCCTCTGAGACTCCAGGAACTGCTCCTTCCCGATGTCTTCCTCCGGCAGGCTTCTTCCCTGCACCCTTGCCCCGCTGCAGCACTGGCGACACCCTTCTCTTGAGCTTCACCACCTGCCGCGGCAGCTCCACCTCCTGTTCCTCCGCCCATCGGCCCAGCCTCGGACACTCCGCCTTTCAGCTCCAGGCTTCCGCAGTTCCAACTTCTCTCCCCTTGCACGCCCTGGTGAGGTCCACCATCCTTGGCTTCCCAGCTTGAGTTCCTCCGCCACTCATCGACCACCCCTAGGTACTCCGCAAAGTCTCAACCCCTTGAGTGGGGCGAGCCCTCGTAGACATCCGGTGCTTGGAAAGGGCCGCTGACCTGTCCAACGCCGCCACAAGGTCGCATCCAGTGCCACAAACAGCTCATCGCGTTTTTTCCTCTGCCTCCATGACCTGAGCTGCTTCCCCGGCGGGACCTCCGCCTCAGCACCTCCATGGCGCTAGAGTGTTGGGCTCATAACCTGCAATTCCTTGAGTGCTCTTTCTCGAGCCTATCAAAGGGTCTGCGATGGTTGATGCCATCATTTCAAACGGGTTGGGATGACTGTCGCACGAATCATTCTTGGTTTCCAAAATCAGACCTTTCTGTTTCTGCAGCACATTGCTTGGTTTCCGAAGCATATTTCTTGATTTCCGAATCAACCCCCTTGGTTTCCGAATCAACCTTTTTGGTTTCCGATTCCGAATCGACCCTTTTTAGCCGTGCCCCAAACCTGCTGCACTCACACGGTACTAGCAATAGGATAGACAAGTGGCGCTTGGGAAAGCTCAAATTTCCCATGTCCTCTTTGGAGATAGGTCATGTTGTTTGGGCCTCACATAGCACTTCAACATGCGTTGGTCATTTGGGCCAAGAAGAAGGGCCCATTGAAGCTCCTTGCTTTCTGTGTAAGTTCTAACAAGCAAATGAGGAGGGTATATAGTATACGGCTATACCGCAGAACCAACGAACGCATGATTTTGATTTCCAGCCACTTGATGTGCCAGGCTTCGCAAGGCGTGCCAGACAGCTTGGAGCTGGGATTGGAGCAGATGATGGATGAAGCTCGGCGGACTTCAGACCGCGCGCTTGCAGATCGGAGAGATCCAGAGATCCAGATTGCAGATGTCAAAGATCACCCTTTGGGCTCAGTCAACTCGAGCTGTTGGGTTGGGTGAGTGTTGAGTAAAATCGAGCTTTTGGGTGGGGTGAGTGTCCAGGAAACCCTGAGATTTGGGAGTGTTTTTGCGCATTGTTTTACAATGGTTTATACTAAACAAACACCGGGTGCCCAGAGCCCTCAACAGTAGTAGGTGGCATAAGCTCCTCAAAGGGTGCTGAATTGAAAGTCATACCCACTTGGTTGCTTGGGGCTACTACTGTTGGACATTCAGAATCCATGGTGAGCCACAGGGAGTACAACAGCTTCGTTGCGCATCCGAGCAAAGCTGGGCAGGCTTTACTGGGACCGGAACCCCTCTGCTTTAGGGCGACCGATCTCCCAGAGGGCCCTTGGTCCTTTGCAGAGGACACTTTGTCCCAAAACAAAAAGGGGGACCTGCAGTTGATTCCCCGATTTGTGCAAATAAGCTTGGCATAAACCATCTCATGGTTTCGATTCTGCTTGCAGTTTGTATTTCTGGTGTTCAAATCCAGCATTTAATCCTTATGCCGACGAGGTGGTGGGTTCCCTTGATGTGGCGGTTTCCCACTACGGATTATGGATTACGCCAAGGGATTCCCGCCATTTTGAACAACCCGGACATGTAAGGAGCGCAAAAGAGTCATATTCGGGAAAGCTCGGGCAAAATGGCCAGTCTATGGTCCTTTCAGGGATGAGTTTCCGGGGCTTCGCCCTAGCCCAGGACCTGTCAGCTTCTGCAGGCCTTTGGGGGGGACGGGCTGCGGACTCGTCTTTTTGGGCGCTGGGAACCGACTTGGTGTTTCCCAGCTAATCAAAGGGCACCAACCCCCTTGTCAAGTGCCCCTTGCGTCGGACATCCTTGTCTCGGTTTAGCTTGGCCCTAACATTAAGGGTCCTCAATGGCTTGGTTCCTCCAGATCTGACAAGCTTTGCACGCACTGGCTGGGAGGGCGGGGAGTTTGCTGAAGATGGTTCCCGCGTGCTTTCCGGGAGGAAAGCAGCCAAAGACGCAGGAGACTGGGCAGCAAGAAATGGGAAGAGTTAAGGAAGTAGAGGCCTACAGCAGATGTCTAGTGCAGCAGCTACCCTCAAGTGTGCTGTTTCTACCCTCAAGTTGGGTTTGTTGGGGTAGCCGACCATTTAGGTGACTTCCATTGAGCTTCCCGCCAGAATCCCGGTATGGTTGGCTACCCTCAAGTTTCCGTTGCCAACGGTCTCGCTGTGTGCTCGCTTGCGATGTCCAGGCCCTGTATTTGGTTTACAATGTACAACTTTGGTTCTCGCGAATCTGGACGGGACAGTTCCAGAAATGTGGTCAGTGGGAATGGCGTCAACCCTTCATTGAAAACCTGAAAGACCCATGTCAAAGGACTCGCTTGGACTTCCTTTCTCACATCCCCTTCCAAATAAGACTTGAGGGTGCGGCCGAGTTTGACTTACCCGCATTTACCTCTCCATCCACGAAAAAGCGGCCCCTGATTTCCGGGAACTTCTGTGTCTTTGCTGTAACAGCCTCGGAGAAACAGCTGTTGGTTTCCATGCTTCAAACTGCACTGCAAGCACCTCACTGTCAAGCTGATGTACGGATGGCATGCTTTAAGAGAGGACACAAATGAAGCCAACTTGTACAGTGGGACGTGCCACCATCAAAGCTGCTTGATCAAGATTGTCCCTTTGCAGTGCGGATCTCTTTGTCGCTTTGTCGGAAAGGAGTCAGGCGTTGAGGACCGCAGGGACTGGAGTTGAGCCAAGTGGGCTGGCATGGGAATAGTCCACAGAGGGTTGTATTTGGGCTCTGTGTCAAGACTCCAGCAGCTGTGGCTTCAGCATGTTCCGGAATGCCATGTGTCACATGCCAAACTTGTTGATCCTTCAGAGTGGTCCATCTGGTTGTTTCAGCTGCCAAGGTTCCCAAGTGTCTTTGGAAGTCCCAGGACATGTCTGCTGCCCGCGCCGGGGCATAGCCTCGAGGTAGGCCAACGTTTTTGCCTTGTAAACGACCAACGTGCTGTGTCCGAGGTCCTGCAGGTACCCTGGGTTCCCCCTAAACCTTTTGTACGCTGCTTTTGCGGCATGTCTATTTGGGCTATGTGAGCAGTTGACTGGGTGTGGGGTAAGGGAGCTTGATGTTGATACTTGGAACATGGTGAAAGGCAGAAGGGCAGAAGACGCCAGCCAGCGCGCCAAGCTTTGGAGGCGCCTGCGGGAAGACGCTCGAGCAGCGCTCCGGGGAGCTGCTGGAGTGAGAGATCCATGGGGAACGTGACATCCTCGGGTTTGCTGGCGGGGCGAAAGCAAAGTCAGCCGACTTTGATAACAAATACATGTGCACAATATGTTTGTAGATTGAATGCAGACACAGGACACCCACACACACACACCACGTCAAGACATAATTCATCCCTAGCCGACGACCAATCGAGAAAAGGCTCAGATTTCCAATCCGCCACTACGGCATTGGTTTGCGGTGTTGTTCCTGTCATGTCCGGGGCCTGAGCATGGGGTTGCTCAGCAGTTTGGGTTCCTGCGGTATGCGTGGCAGGAAATGCGAAAAGGCCCGCTGACGCTGTTGCGTACCACTTGGCACGGGCAGGTTGCAGGTTCGATGTGCTTCGGCAGCTTTTTGACAAGGGGTCAGAAGCTATGGGGCCGTTTCCCAATCTATAATTGGTCACCCCGTACCGCACCGGTATTTGACATGGGTGCTTCTTGACTCTGTGTTTCACAAAGAATCGAAGAAGCCTGGAGAGGTGCTTCGTTTCCTGCCAGTGGCAGTCTTGCTTGGCATTGCAGTTTCTCGGCTTATATTATAGGACGTGTAGCTAGCTCCATTAGTGGCAGGTTGTGCCTGCGGGTGTCGCTCTTAGCTGGTCCTTTTTGGGCGCTCCTCGCAATGTCCAAGAGAAGGGGGTCCAGTCACAACGCGTGGCTATGTTTTTGGGAACACCCCCTCAAGGGAACCAGTTTTTGTGTTTTTTTGACTAGCCCCGGCCGGGGCTTGGCCCCGGCCAGGGTTGGTCGGTCGGTCGGTCGGTTGGTTGGTTGATTGGTTGGTTGGCTGTTTGGTTGGCTGGCTGGCTGGCTGGCTGGCTGGCTGGGCGGCCGCATCCCAGCACTGCGTATTGGCCAGAGTTGCTCGGGCTGAAGCGGCCGCATCCCCAGCATCACTTGCCCCGCTCGGACTAGGGCTGCCTATCGGCTTTGATTTGGTGGCAGTTCGGAGTTGCTCGGGGCTGGTTTCGGGTGAGTGTTGGGCTTGCCGAGGTCTTATATAATGATGGATGGCACGGTTTAGTACAGGGCTGATATTCAGGATGCTGTTGGGAGGGTTTAAGGGCAGGTCTTGGGTTTGTTTGGGTTTCATTTAGGCTTGGTTGAGTAAAGGGCTGATATCCTGGATATGCGGCCAACCAGGCCAACGAGGGATGCGGCCAACCAACCCGACCCCCAACCTGGCCAACTAGGCCTCCAGAGAATGCCGCCTGTTGCCACCAACCTGAGAGCGGAGCAAGGGTTCTCAGCCAACCTTTTTAGAGCAACATGAGGGAGTAAAAAGCCGGGGCTAGTAAAAAGAAAAACACCTCAACCACCCTCAAGGATGGTGATTGGATATATCCAAGGCAAATCATGTCCCCAAAGAGTTCAAGCAATTCAAGCTCATGAACACATTGGCTCTGGTGGTTCTTAGCTGGTTTGCCCACATTTGCTTGTGGCGTCTAAGGCGGTGGTCTTCAGGCCATGTCTGCCTTACAGAAGATCGCGGAGATCGAGGCACTGGGAGGTTGGTCCGCATAGGGCCTCAGGGCCTCAGGGTTCCCTTGATTTCCCTTTTCGTTCCCTTGGTTTCTCAACCAATCAAGAGGGCGTCCCGAAGCTGCAAAAGCCACCCATATGTCCCCTTTTTGGTGGTTTTCGGCTGATTCAAAAGTGAGCTTCCTTTGATGGTGATTGTTAACGGGGGCAGTACAGGGAGGGCTCATAACCGCCCACAACCGTTACCAAAACCCGCGTCTCACCCGCGTTGGCCAGGCCGAAATGGCCAGGACGCAGAAGAACAAAGCGACGAATGCGCACTTGGGCTTGCTAAAGGCCCCGGGTTTGTGACTCCAGGCATCTAACGGTTGCGTGTCATCGTCTCCTTGTGCGTCGCTTATCCCAAGGGTGATGTTCAAGGCCCTGGGAAGTCGGCCGACAGAAGGAGGGAATTTCGAGCAGGTTTTGAATATGAGTTTCATATATTTTCCCCAAAAGTGGGCCCAGACTCTATGCATGACCCAGCTTTTCATGAAAACACGTCGGACTCCAGCCATCAAGCGGCTTGAGAAAAAGAAAGAGGTGGATGCCGGTTTCCCTGTTAAACCCGACCAAACCAGCTGCGTGTCGTTTGCCGAGAGCATACTATAGACAGGATGACAGGCCCTTGATAAGAGAACCACTGAAATCGGGGAAGAGATGTTTGGACATCATCAGTCATGTCTCCCTCAGGGTGTCCGCAATTCCTCACACGTCGAGGATGTTGAAACGCTTTTGCTCTGTATTAGCATGAACATTGCCATCACCCGCGCGGTCAGCCTTGTTCTGCGGCTTCTTTGAAACCCTTACTGGGGGGGAGCATATCCCTTGTTGGTTGAGCACAATCAATGGGCCTTATGCATGGTCTTCCTCACATGCCATGGGCAGCCTGCTTTCCGCTAGCCATGGGTCTTGGTAGCAGCCTTGATGGTTTCATTTAGGTAAAACTCACATGACATCACCCTTTTCCTCAACGGTGACATGGGGTCTTCTGTCGCGTCCTGATCGGCATGGCACTTTGTTTTCCTTAATCTTCGTGGGACCACCATGACAAGTCTCTAGTTCTGACACAGGTTTGGTGGACCCTGCAAATGGCTGATTTTGTTGTGGTTTCCCTTTCAAACAAGCCCCATAAGGTACCTTTGAGACACGTACCCGCACAAATGATGTTGCACCCAGCAGTTCCAACACCTTAGCACCTTCCCCTCCACAAAAACATGGCTACACTTTCCGAGGCAAAAGTGTGAACTCCCCATAGATGCATCAAAGTACGCTTAGGGATCGGACCCTTTCAGGCCAGCGCGTCTCAAAATAGAAGTGCCTTTCCGGTGAGTCCCCAAACTGAACCCCTCGCGAATGGGTCTCAACCGGGGGACTCCAAGCCGACCGCGCGCTTCGCGCGAAGGCGAAGCTGGCCAAGCTGCGGGCCACCATCGTCTCCGAGGGCACCAAGGGCTCCGGGGGCGGGGGCGGCCAGCAGGGCTTCGAGGCGCGGGGCTTTGTGTACAGGAGATGTTTGTGTGTGTGTGTGTGTTTCTTGTGTGTGTTTTGTTTGTGTTTTTTGTTGGTTGTGTGTGTGTGTGTTTTTTTCTTTGAGAGTGCCGTTTTTGGATGGCTAGGATTGATGGATAACGAGATAGAGGAGAGCTAGATAAACACACAGGTAGACAAACAGATAGACATCCATGTAGATAGACAGTTAGAAATATTAGATAGACAGAGATGTAGATAGATTAGGAAGGTTTAGATAGATGAATGCATGTGTGGATACATAGATAGCTAGATGGATGGAGAAGAGGTATATGGGTAGGCAGATAGATAGTAGATAGAAAGATAGCAAGGCAGAGAAGCAGACATATTACGTAGAAAGATAGGTAGATAGACAAACCGATAGACACATAGGTGGACATATAAACAGATGTCAACAGATAGATAAATAGATGGATAGATAGACAGACAACCAGATAAATTGAGAAAGAGAAGGAGAAAGAGACAAAGAGCAAGACACAGAAAGAGAAGATGATGCACGTGGAGCGATTTCCGGACTGACAGATGGCTGGAAGACAAGAGAAAGAAGACAAAGAAAGAGAAGCGGAAGGAAAAGCAAAGAAAAGTATAAAAGCAAAGAAAGAAAAGAGAAAGCGGAAGAGAACGAGAAAGAAGGAACAAACAACAGAAAGTGAAAGCGGGCTGTAGGCGGCTGTAGTTCTTATAGTTTAGTTTTGAAATATACCGACAGTTACAAACACACATAATATGCATTTACATACCCACACATATACACGCACACGCACATATATATATATATATATATATATATGCACATACAGTGGCACACATATACATACAAACGCACGCATACGTCTAAACACATACTCAACACATGTGCATACATATGCACGATACACACACACACAGACACACACGCACACACATACGCATACATACATGCATTCAGTGACCATTCATTAATTTACTCACTGGTTCGTTCGTGCGCTCGTTCACTCATTCATTTGTTTGTTTGTTCGTTTATTCATTCATTCATTCATTCATGCATTCATGCATTCATGCATTCATGCATTCATGCATTCATGCATTCATTCATTCATTCATTCATTCATTCATTCATTCATTCATTCATTCATTCATTCATTCATTCATTCATTCATTCATTCATTCATTCATTCATACACATACATAATGACACAGCCCATGAATGCTGCTTTCGTGTACATAGGCAACCGGCAGATATTGAGTACGCACAAGCGGTACCTGCTTCAGGAGTTTGCGGTTGAACCTTGGAAAAGAAGGGGCGAAGCAATGGTAAGGGTTGGTATGTGAGTGGGGCAGGGTATAAAGCACTTGCATAGCAGGGGTTTAGTATTGGATCTCAAGTTGGGTGTTTGCTTTGTCGGCATGAAGTAGGATGAATGTAATGACGCTGTGGATCAGCTTGGCCAGCCAGCCGGATCTGGATTCAGTTGATATTTGTTGAATGACCAAGGCAGAATAATTTGCAATTGGGGCACACTCACCACAATGTCCATACTGGAACCTCACCGAATATTCGATGTCAATTGAGAGCAAAGCATACCACCGGCCACGGGACATTTCCAGCGGAAAGTAGAGCCACGGAGACTTGATTGCAAAGGTGTCAAAAACCGGAGACGCCCGAGTGGGCCTGATCGGATTTCCGTCCGCCGGCGCCCAAGAGTCAACTTTGGCGCACGCGGCTTGGACGTGCCCCGTAGATTGACAAGCTGACTTCGGCCCCCAGGTCGGCAAGTCCACCTTGCTGAACAAGATGACCGGAAGCGCCAGCGAGGTGCTCCAAGGGTTTGAGACCCCAAGCTTAATCCAGCCCGGCAGAACCCTTGGGCCCAAACAGCATTGCTATTTGCACAGATTCAAACACTGTCCTCGTTGTGCGTCCTTCCTTTGGAGGTTCCGTGTTTCCTTGTTTCGTGCCTGGGCATGCACCAGGTGGCTTCCTACGAATTCACAACCTTGACCTGTGTTCCTGGCGTCTTCAACTACAAGGCCTGGAGCCATCCCTTTGGCTTTGTTGGGCTCCGAACGGGGAATGAGCGTCATGCAAACCCCTGCCCCAGAGGCAACCCTGGATCTTAAGCCTCGGAGGTTTTGGGAATTGGGGGATCTCAGCGGGCTTCGAGTGAAACCATGCGTTCCATTCGGATTGGGATCGAGTTTGGAGCAAGGGCGCCAAGATTCAGCTCCTCGACCTGCCCGGAATCATCGAAGGCGCCAAGGACGGCAAAGGACGAGGAAAGCAGGCCGAGTTGCTCCCATCCGCGAGCCTTCCGGGCAACCCAACGGTGTAGGATTTCGGCAGGGGTCTCCTGTCCCCACCGAGCCGGAGTGACCATTGGGTGAAACCTTCATTTCAAGATGCCGTAACCCAAAATATGGAGGGCTAAGGCCTTTTCAAGGGTTGCCGGGATTGTCGCAAAAATGACAATTTCGCAGTGCCGCAGTGCTAGCCATATACGGCGCGCTCGCCATGGCCGCGGGAAAGGTATTTCCGTCGTTTTTTGGGCAAGGAATGTTGGTTGAGACCTTCTCAAAGGAAAGGTTGATGGTTGCGTAATTCCAACGTTATTCCAACGTTACGATGTCCCTGGAATGTGTTTTATGTTCATTGACACGGTCAGGTGATTAGTGTCGCATACAGCTGCAGCCTGATTCTCATCGCTGGAGCCTCGGAGCCTCGGAGCCTCGGAGCCTCATGATGCTGGAGGTCTCAAGGGGCCCCGAAAGGCAAAATGCGGTTTCCCCCAAATGCGGACGTTGAAACTAAATGGACCCTCGCACAGACGCATGGAATTCCAAAGTTCCAAATGGCGCCCCTTTTCACATGCCACCAGATTGCAGAAGTATAATATAATCAGTACAGAAGTAACTTCCTCACTGGATGCAAGATGCTCGCCGCATTTTATTGGATAGTTTCTCGAGGAACTAGATTTAAGCGTTCGCTCGTGTGGCTGGTGTTCTCCCTTTATGCTGACCTGCAATTGACGGAACAATCATGCGTGTCACACCCTTGTGGGCAAGAGCCGCAATGATATGTCCAGAAGTGCGATTGGCACGTCGCTGATTCGCATCGTTTGGGATAGAATCCACCCTAGGCCGCAAAGCATGTCAAGATGAATCAACAGGAAACTATGCGGCCTCACCTCCTTTGAAGTGGACATGGTAGCATATCACCAACAGACTAAATGGGGCTGTACTTACTATCCAAAATCCACTTCAAAGTCTCTCGATGCTTTTCTCTCCATTGCTCCAGATTTGCTTCACGCTCAAAGCACACTTTGAACATGCGCGCGGACATAATGTGAAAGGTTGGATCGCATGTGACTGTCTTGTTGTTTGTTTGGTTTTTTGAGTACAGTATTGGACGCTGATGTTCAATACACCGGGCTGATTAACCTGAGGTCTTGGATGTCATGAAGCCTATCTTGCACAAGCGCAAGATCGAGTACGAGCTCGAGGGCTTTGGGTGAGCCCTGCTTCATTTTTGGAATCAGCCCCTTACACACGGAATTGGGCAGGGGGGGGGAACCTCCGGAATCCTATAGTTGGCACCGTGGTTCCCTTGTGGAAGTCCCTCTCGTGAACTGGAGGGTCCCGTTCGGACACAGCCAGGATCCGGCTCAACAAGAAGCCGCCGAACATCCTTTTCAAGAAGCGGGACTGCCCCGTCAGCTTCAGTGATGGGAGCAGTCCAAGCAGTAAAAACATATTGGAGTATCGCTGCATTCATTGTCCGGCGATTCAGCTTACTATACAGGGCGATTCACTGTCCGTTGCTATGCAACCTTGGGATCTTTGGGATGTACGTGGATGTTAGCACCTCAATGGCCCAAATGCCAATGGCATGCATTCAGTCCAGGCACAGGCACACACGCCACACGAGGAGAAAGGTGGCATTGCGCTGACTTTGGCTCCAGGCTGCGAGCTGAAGGACTTTTTCGCGCCGAAAGTTGGAGCATTGGTCACCGGTTTCTCACAGGCGACCCAAATGGGTGGTATCCTTTCCCCCTAGATAGGTTTCAACTGGTTATGTTCCGCTCGCGCCACGTGAGACTGGTCCCGGGTCACCCAAAAAAAGACACCCAGACCTCCGAATTGGCAGCTTTTCTTTTGAAGTAGTTTACAGACAATCCCATTCGTAGATATTCGGCAGACTTTGGGTTGCTTCGTGCTTCACTGAATGGGCTACGGCAATTCATTCTCGAAGGCCAGTGAAGCGGCCAGAGCAGCATGAGGGCTTCAATGCCAGGACTGCGACGAGGACAGCATTCAGCAGGTGCTAAGCTCAGCATTCGGCAGCGTCATTTCGGTCTGATCCGACTGCCCGACCGAGGTGCTCCGGGAGTACAGAATATCCAACGCGCAGGTCTCTATCCGATGCAATGCCACTATGGATGACATTATCGATACGCTGGAGGCCAGCGATAACTTGAATGCAACAAGGCACATTTGGCGGAATGCTCCCATGGAGTTGCATTACATGGTTTCACGTGCAGCTTTTTCTCGTGTGAGTGTCCTGCCAGGGCAACAGGAAGTATTGCCCGGCAATTTATGTGATGAACAAGATTGATCAGATCACCATTGAAGAGCTCGATATCATTGCCGAGGAGGGGCAATACCTTTGTGCTTTGTGTTTGAGCAACACTGAGAAACAACTCTGGTTGTGTCCGCTTGTAACAATGCGGCAAAGAGCCATTTGCAATGCTAGTGTTTGTATCTAGAAAGCCACTTACTTGTACAAGGCACCTGAAAGCAAGTGTCAAGAGTTGTGGAAACTAGAGAACACTTTTTTCTTGGACCCCTTTGAAAGGTAGCACGACTTGAGCATCGTTTGTTTGTCGAGACGAATAACTTTATCTTCGGGGCAACTCCCAAAGGTCCGCGAAGGCACGCGTGTGTGCTACATTGTGTTGAAAGCTCGCCAGGCCTCCCGCAAAGACCCCGCAATTTGACAAAGGCGAAGCCACTTTGCGAAGGCTAGCTAGATAGAAGTACAATTAATTGGCTAGCTAACAACACGCACCATTTTGTTGCGAAGGCAAAGCCCCTAGCGTAGGATCCCCAGCAGCGTGTACTCCACTTTGTGAGACGCTGACACATCCTGCACTGTTTAGGCACTCATACAGCCGGAGTCTTTCACATGTTTGACTTGCCCGCCATGTCACAAACATTGTGGCCACCAATAAACCATGAGGTGCAGGTTTCGGCTCGGCTCACTCCCACACACGAACAAGCAGATGGCGCTACGCCAGGTTCCTCATCATGTGCCCATTTGTGCACACCATGAGTGGAACCTGGATGGTCTCGTGGAGATGGTCTGGAAGTACATGAGTCTGCTGAGGCGAAGTCTTCGGGAGAAAAGCAGAGAGTTGCGGTTGATTGTTGTTCGGCTCAAGACGCTCCTGTACACATAAAGTACAGAACCAAGATTTCATCGGAAAGGCACATATCATAGTCCTCAGCTTCAGTGCGGGGGTGGTCTTGTTTGCCAGGCGCTTCCTTTTTCTGGGCCTGTAACTCGGAAAAAGGTGGTCCTCGTGTGCTCATGGCAGGATATATACCAAGCCCCGCGGGCAGATCCCGGACTACACAGTGCGGCCCTCGACTTTGACCGACCTGGGCCAATCGATTTCACCTTCCAGAGCAAGAGTCAAAAATCGGCACCGCCATTGCTGCGGCTCTGGATTGGATGGCTAAGAAAAAGTAGAAATGATACGCCCAACATTTGCTCCATGGTTCCCCCAAAATTGCGCCAAACCCCCGGTGGTTGCCGTTGTCGCTTTCTTCTAAAACCATTCAGCAGTTCGCCAGATGGTTGCATGGCTCCCCACTTGCCCCAAAGAGGAGGGCTGCTTGTCAACTGGGCAACGAGGCAACCCGAAGCCAACGTAAGCAGTTTTGCCGCGCTGAGCAGCCTAGGCTCCGGTGATTTTGCCGGCGGAGAAAAACAAGATCGAGGACCAGCACTGATGTGTGCATGAGGTGCTGTATAAGACTGCCAGCCAGGCATTAGATTGGATCCACTGATCCAACTGATCCCGCCGTAAGCAGCAAGCAACCAAGGGAAACCATTCTCAGGCTTTCTTGGATCTTCAGCACAGGGCGGGTTGCATGTTGGTTCCTACATGATCGTTTGGGGGCCATAACGGCAGAACAATCTGGTTGGTATATTTATGCCTTGTCTAACGCTGTTGTTTTTGTGTATGTGAAGGGTATAAGTCATGCAAGAAGACATTCGACAAGCCAGTTTGCCGCCAGTGTTTGCCCTTCAGCTTTCACACGATGTTTACATGCCATCGCAGGATTTCTGTATCAGAATCCACAAGTCCCTCCTAGCACAGACCGCGCCTTAGAAATCGATGAACGCCCCGCAACCTTGACATTTACGTGACTGTTTGAGGTTCAAAGTGGCTATGGTGTGGGGCATGTCTGCCCTGCCAGCCCGCTTTTGATCCTGCGGAGAAGTAGGCTTATGCCTGTGGCCAACTTTCATCGCTCTGCAGACTCCAAAACAAAGCTTTGGAGCTTGCCAGGTGAAGCACAATCCTCAAAGATGCGGGAAAGACCACGAACTCATGGATGAGGACATGGCACATGCTCGTGCATGGTGACATGAGAATGATAGCAGATAGTAACAAACATACATTACTTCCGATCAGCATTCTGAGTGAGGACGTTGTTCAAATCATCAAGAAGGTCGGGTGAGATGCATCACACGTTTCACAGTCTGAGACTTAGGGGAGACTGCTCGTTGTCTCTTCATCTGCAAATAGTTGTTTTCGTTTGCCAAACTCAGTTGACTCTTGTTGGAGTTTGTTTCCTGACCATGTTAAGAATGATTTGGCTGAAGGCGTGGCTCCGAGCAAGTGCTCCAAGTCTCATGTAGAGAGTACAATGGCATGAGCCGCAAACACCGTCTAGATGTGAAGTGTCCACACAAGTGGTCAGCCTATGTCGTCGGCCCGCTCGTTCTTGACTGGGTTGGCGTCTGGCAAGACCGGAGCTGAAATCTGAGCTCTCGGGGCTCAAGCGGGTTCCAAAGATGAACAAGCAGAGGCCACCCCGAGCCGACAGCGGCTGTGTGCACACCTTGATGAACATCTGCAATACAGAACATGGTGCCACACAAGACTGGACACCACACATAAAAGCAGTATATGTTTTACGATACGTAATATATATATATATATATGATGTATATGCACATAATATACAACCAACAGTGAGGCTGGTGCAAGGCTCGCGCCTACGTTTTAGGCTCTATAGGTTTGCCCATGGAGAAGCAGCCTGGCAATGCGCCGCAGCCACACCATGATTGGGAGATGTCCGAGGAGCGGACAAATCAATGCCGGAAGTTTTCATAGAGCATCGAGGTGTCAGTCTCACGTCACTCCAGCGCAGTCAAAACCAGGGTAGCAGCTTAGTGGGGGACTTAAACCCAACACGTACAGATATTCGGCCTGTCGATTCTTTGACATGGCTTTGGGAAGACTCCTTACTACCAGGTTTGGACTGCTCACCTGGATCTTGCCCGCAGTGTTGTTGGGAGCCGGTTCATGGGTGTTGAGAATTGTGCCCTTGCTTGGGGTATATATATATAATATAATATGCTCCAATGATTATTTGTCATTGGTAGACTTGCAACAATCTCAATTCCAAAGGTGCATGGGAGACTTCCACAAATAAGGTCCTCGCTTGTTTGACCATGTCAGATGCTCACATGCATGACTTGAGTTTTGGACCAGTTCAGTAGATGGCTCCACATCCCGATTCAAAGTTTCAAGCGGAATAACAACTGGAAAGCGAAGGGTCAGATTTGACCAGGAGCACTGGAAGTCCAAGAATGCTGCAAAGGAGCCGCCGGCAGAGTGGCTGGACTCAGTCCTAGGGAGTGTTGGCGCGCATCCGGTTTGTATGAGGCAGGGGAGGCCCTGTGATTTTGCCTGACTTGATCAGTTAATCACCTGTTTAGAACGATGTCTTTCATGGAAGAACGGGGTCCCCTTCAGCAATTTGTGTTTGACTCGCAGACGGCCGGACAGAGCTCATTATCAGAGTCAGACACTGCCGCCGATGTTTTCATGAGGCCGGCTGCACCGGAGTCCCAGTCAGCCGGCCAGTTGTGCGGCTGCCCGGGTTCACGGGTTCGGCCGCATCAGCTCCTTAAAGGCGTTGGAGGTTTTGTTGGCAGCTTCTCAGAATCCAAAAGTTCTTGGGATCGCTATTTGGCTGTTTCGGGGGTTCAGCTTGTGGCCACCTTTGCGAAGACTTAAGCCTGGAGCCATTTACTTGAATGCACCGCCCCTGGGTTTACGAAAGTCTTTGCAGTGGTCAAACATAGGAACCCTGGCTTTTTGTGTGCCAGGTCGCAGCCAGTGAGCAACCCTGAGCGATCTGGCACAGCATCTGCGAGCCCGAGAAGCAAGAAGGGCCCTGTGGGGCAGTCTGTAGGAGCCCCATTTGGTCGATGTTCCAAATCGGACCCGCTCCAAATGCTTCCTCCATGTGCTTGCCGTGTCAATCCTGAGTTGAGTCTAACTTGAACAGGATAGCGATATTGGCGCTGGTTGACATTGGCCTTGGGTCCTTCACAGGTGATGCACCTCTCGACCCTCCAGCGAGCTCCGAAGTACAGCTTCCGCGGTGTCAAAGACAGGCAGGGTGTGGTACTGTGGATTGCGAGTTAAGGCTGGGTCATTTTTTTGTAATGTAGGAGAAGATAGGGGGAAGACAGGGGAATGTGTCACAAAGAGAGAGAAACCCAAGTGTGTCGCGCCAGTTACATAGACTGTGTGCATCCACACTGGCACATGCCGCCCCAGCTTAGCGATTTACAACTGTCAATGGGGCGTACTTTGAACCCCCCCAAATGGAATGTTCGGTGAAAATGTCCAGTTGTCTAGAGACAATTTGGGAGGGGCGTGAGGACTTACTACATTTGCCACAGCCAAAGGGGGGAGAAGTAGTTTTCCCATGTCCATTCTGGAAACCGCATATTCTGACGGCAACGGGCTCGCTTCCTCTAAGGTTTCAGACCAGGGGTCTGCGTGCAGCAGCGCAAGTCCCTGGGTAACAGCCTCAGGGGGGCACAAGCTGAGGCGCGATATCGCAGCTCCCTGTGTGGCCCTTTTTGAACACACCTCCTTTTGGGCCAACTTGGATATTGTTCCTTTCAGGCCGATGTTTGGGCGGAAGATTTTCGGAACCATACGGAACCCTGTTTTTGCAGCATCAAGCTGAAACCCAAGGGAAACAGGGAAACCACCCACTTTGGGGGTTCCCCGTCCAAAAAGACACATCCGTTTGGGACATTTTGTGACCACATGTTTTGTTTGCAAGCAACTATGCCTTCGAGTATCTCCGGTTATTTGATCAGCCTGTTTCCGTGGATTATGGCTTGCATGTGTTTGGCCCAAGAGGTGATTCTAGAGCTGCTTGATAGCAGCATGTGGGGGGGGCGGAACACTTCATTTTGGTTTAGCCTCTTGGTCAGAAGCAGATTGAGTTAGTTTCAGTCATTTATTTATGTAGGAGTGTTTTACGCAAGTATTGTTTTTTGCTTTTTCCCGATCATCGATGCGGGACTTCAAAAAGCGATCCCCCAAAACCTGAGAAACAACCCGAAAACAATGCCCCACAAGCCTCGGACAAGTATTTTTTTTTCCAAGCAAGCATTTTCAAGCAATGTTGCCCCTTGCTCTCCCTGATTGAAAAGAAGAAGCCTGCCAGATGGCTGAGGATGTCAAGTGAAGCGCCAGAGTCACGGAAAAACTCATGTCACCTCTTCTTCTGAGGCCTGGGTCCTACGGCAATGCGAAGATCGCACCCGAGGCTGGGACTCAGCGATTTCCGATGCTCCACGGGATGGGCCTCAGGAAGACTGGAGACTGGGCTTTTGTCGCCCTTTGCAAGACCCAAATCGTGCTTGGGCGTCGGCTTGGGCAAACTTGAACGGGCCTAGACTACCACAGAGTTGAGAAGCGACCAGCGTAGTGCGCAAATGGTACATGGTGAGGTCTATTCCTCTCGCCACCGCAAAAGCCCGGGCTACGGCTTTGGCACTGGTCCAAGAGAGGACTGACGCCTGCGAGCCACCAGAGGGCGTAAAGGGGATGTGAACCTTGGCGGCATATGTCAGACAATCAGGACAAGAATCCCTTCAATCAGAGCCAATGATCATCAAAAAGCGTGCCAGTTGTACTGTGGGAGCGCGACATTTTTTTGTTTTTCCACTTGCCCAGGAGCGCATATTGACTTGATTGCGGCTTGGTGCGATTGCGACCTTGAATCAGTCAAACCTTCGGAACATGGTTGCCTTTCTACAAAGGTCTAGCAAGCAAACAAGAAAAAATGTGTTTTGTTTGCAGGGTGAAGGACACTCATCGATTGGACAGGACGGCCTACGGGTCACCCAGCCCGGGCCGGGGACCTATCCTGGGGCTGCCCCAGGCCGACACGTGGCTGGGTACGCGCCTGGGTTGTAAAGAACGAGAGGCTTTTTCCGTGACTCGTTTGCATTTGTTCCGTCTGAAGAAAATACCATAACTTTATCAACGAATTACTCCCTTCACTTGTTTTTCCCCACATCATTGTGTGGGGTTCTTACTTTTACCGCTCAACGTCCGTCGCCGTTGCCTCCTTCCTTCTCCTCCTCCCGCCTCCCGCCTCCTTCCGCCCTCACTCACTCACTCACTCACTCACTCACTCACTCACTCACTCTCTCTCTCTCTCTCACTCACTCTCACTGACTCACTCACTCACTCACTCACTCACTCACTCACTCACTCACTCACTCACTCACTCACTCACTCACTCACTCACTCACTCACTCACTCACTCACTCACTCACTCACTCACTCACTCACTCACTCACTCACTCACTCACTCACTCACTCACTCACTCACTCACTCACTCACTCACTCACTCACTCACTCACTCACTCACTCACTCACTCACTCACTCACTCACTCACTCACTCACTCACTCACTCACTCACTCTCACTCTCACTCTCACTCTCACTCTCACTCTCACTCTCACTCTCACTCTCAATTCTCATTCTCATTCTCATTCTCACTCACTCTCACTCTCACTCTCACTCTCACTCACTCACACTTACTCACACTCTCTCACTCTCACTCACACT